TCGCTTGGAGGGAACGCCCTAGCTTTCATATTCATATTTTTTTATTTGTTTCCTTCATTTTTGTTTAATGGACAAGTGTCCTTAGCACCCGGCTGTCCAAGTCTGTCGGTGACCGGGGTGTCATCTCTAAGCTCCGAAATTCATCCCACCTATGTCTTTACACATCAGTCATCGAAGAAAACCCGTAAAATTTTTACGTTGCTTACAAGCCCCGGCAATTTTTAACAATTTTTGCAGGTTAAATATTAATGACAAATAAATTAAAAAATATGGAAATGTTTTCATCAAATATGCACAAAACTTTAATACTATTATATTCCATATCCAGCACATTAGAAGGATGCATATTCAGTGTTGCAAAAGTGTTTTACTGATAGGAGGGAATATGTCCATAAAAAATAGGAAAGATGTTAAAATGTTTTTAGACTTCTCATTAACACATGTTAAGTTAGAGCCATACTTGAAATCAAGGAAGAATTATAAAACTATGATATTTAAATAATCACTTAGATAATAAATTTAAGTTGACTAAAATTAATAAATAAAATAGTATAAATTATTCATAATGATTTTGCTGTTGTTTTTGCACAGAAACTCTTATTATGAAAGCACACATTTTTATATATTTATTATCATTCAATTTGATATCACATAAAAAAATAATTAAAATAATTCAATACCCCTATTTTTATCGTTCTTTCAAACAAATTCATATTCAAAATAACATTTATATAAAAAAAATTAACCAAATTTAAAATTTTTCATTAAAAGTTAGCAGAATATCAGTTTAAATATTGCATAAATGATATATCAAAAAATAATCGAAATAATCTATTCTAAAAAAAAGAAAGTCTATAATCTTATTGAATAAAAAGAAAGTTGTGATTTTTTTATAATAAAGAATACTCAAATTTTTATATCACAGGTATAATTTTGCCTTATATATGATTTGGAAAGTAATATATATTCAAAATTTGTTAATGAAGGAGGTTATGAATGGCATTAACTAATTTTCTTTTCTAAAATAACCATCATTGTGTCATCACAGTAATAAGAAATATATTCATTGATATAAAAAAATGTAAATTGCATTAATTAGTTGGAATATTCTCAAATACAATGGTAAATAATAATTTAACATTTTGATAAAATTATTGCATAATATTTTTTCTACTTTTAAATCTACAGATATCAGTTCAAGAATGTTTGTGAAGGATATTTATTTCATGTAGAGGAATATATATAAATCCTTGCTTTTGAATGAGAATTTGTTCAAAAGAATAATAAAAATAGGTGTTTGACATTTTTTTATATTTTCAAATTGTTTATTATTTCAGAAAAGTAAGTATTTGAATGATGACAAAATATAAAAAAGTTGTATACATATTTTGTGATCTCATAATAAGAGTTTCTTGGCAAAAATGGCAAACCCTGTAAAAAGCTTATAAAAAATTACAGGATTATGATTGTGGAATGGGTACATTTTGATAATCTTGTGATCATCCTTATTTTTATATTGTTTTAAAATACTTTCTTAGAGTTATGGAGTTTTTAGGTGTGGAGGGGCTAAAGATTTTTTGGATAAAATTTCATTTAATAAAAATTTATAACCAAACATAATAAATTTTCAGAGTCATGTTTAATCATAATGTAATAAATTAATAAAATATTATTTATAGATATTATATATTAAAATAGAATAGAATATTCAAAAATTAATTAATATAAATTTGATGTTTGAAATAAATTGAAATATAAATTAGTAGTCGTATTGTTTATAAATTAGTAGTTGTATTACTACAAATGGCGACGATAAATGGATAAAATAATTCCTTAAATGGAGATAATAATTCCTTAAATGGAGAAAATAATTCCTTAAATGGAGATTCAAAAAAAAGCGGATTTATCTACGATTAAATTTGATAAATTCGAGTTGGATACTTCAATCTATAGATACTTTTCTCAATGGGAAGCCAGTTTTCGGTTAAAAAACGTAAGCCCATCTGAATGTCAATATAAAGATATATTTTTAACATTTTTTGGCAATAAGAATATTGAGTTGGTGGACCGTTTTTGTTATCCTGATTCGATCGAAACTTTATCTTTTAAGGAAATTATGTTTTAAACTATTTAAACCGACGTCAATAGCTTTTGCTTCTAGATTTGATTTCGTTAGATTACGGAGAACAACTGAAACCATAACTGAATTTGCAGATAAAATTAGAACAATTGGCAAGCGTTGTCATTATCTTAATGATATTGACGAGCGTTTATGTGATCAGTTTATGGTTAGCATGACCGGGATTGGAAAGAGATCTTAGAGCTCTATATTCCGACGGTCTTGATAGAGATAATAATGTACTGACTTTTCAATTTATTCTTGATCTGGCATTAGCTTCTGAGCGAGCAGATAAAGAAATGGCAAATAAAAATATGCCTGTTGTTAATAAGATAAATGATAATAACAAAAGAAATGATAATGATAATAATTATAAACATCCAATTAAAACGACGACTACATTTGATAAAGGCTATAATAAAGTCAAGTATAATAATACATTTGATAAAGAGAATAATAAATACAAATATAATAATGATAAGGATTATAATAAACTTAAATGTTATAAATGTGGTTTTATTCATAACCGAGAAGTGAGATCTCCAGCTAGAAATGCGGCATGTAATAAATGTAAAAAAATTGGTCATTTTGCAGTTTGCTGTAAATCAAAGAATTTAAATTATATAAGAGTGTCATCAAGTGATTCTATTCATAATATTTGGTAGATTCAACAAAATCGAGAGAATTGAGCAAAACTAACTGCAGAGATAAATGGGTTAGATATTGAATTTGATTTTGACACTGGTGCACAAGCGTCATTGATAGGAATTGATATATGGACAAGTATTGGACGACCAAAAATTAGGCCAACCAGTCCATTGACTGCATATGGTGATCATCCGTTAGACGTTAAGGGCGAGACCCAAGTCAAGGTTCACAGACAAGGACCCTATCAAAGGTAATAATGAATACAACTGGGGTGCCTCTTTTCGGATTACCATGGATTATAGCACTCAATTTAGAAATGCCTCGTCAGGTTATGATTAAACAAGTACGCAATTTGGTCAACAATATTTAAAAAGAAAAATGTTGCATAACACTAGATTCTAGAATTCAAGATTTGATTAATAAACACCAAGAAATTTCGGAAGAGAATCAAGATTCTAAACATGCTTTAGATATTCGAAGTATTAATTTGGATGATATGCAATTGTCAGAAAATATTCTACGAAAAGAGTCGAAGCAAGATTTAATATTAAAAAAGTAGCAATACATATTCAGCAAGGTTGGCGAAACTTTGATCGTCATAAAGATAAAGAAATAGTTAATTTTTATAATCGACAGGAGAACTTTCTGTCAATCGTGATATTAAAGAATGGAATGGGAGATTGGTTATTCCTAATAAATTAAGAAATGCAGTGTTAGGAATGATTCACCAGGGACATCCTGGGGAAAATGTAATGAAATCCATTTTTAGATTGTATTGTTGGTGGCCCAGATGTGAAGTTGATATAGAAAATTTTATCAAAATATGTTCTGGATGCCAGAAAAATAGACCATGGTTAGAAGTTGATCTAATGCAGAATACCTCTGCTGATGCTATGATAAAACGACTAAAAAAATGGTTTGCTAGGCTTGGAATACCCAAATACATTGTGTCAGACAATGGACCACAATTCTTTCTGGGGAATTCCGTAGGTATTGTGATTTAAATAACATACATCATATACGTTCGGCACCCTATAATCCAAAAACTAATGGCTGAACGTACAGTACAAACTTTGAAAGGTCGGTATTATGTGACGAGAGATTCAATTAGCGATCCCGAAGAAGCTATGACACAGGTTTTAACAACCTACCGATTGCGAGAGCATAGCTCCACAGGGAGATCTCCTCCTAAAATTATGTTTGGGAGGCAATTGGAAACAAGTCTGGATTGGGTCCAACCAAATGCCGAACACGAAATAGTAAGGGCCAATGATAGACAAAGCCTTCATCATGATTTACATTCAAAGGAAAGAGAATTTGAAATCTCACAACCTATATGGTTAAATAATGAAAATACCAATGGTTGAAGAGAGAGAGTAATTAAAGAAAGAATAGGACTTTACTCTTATATTGTTGAATCTTCCGAGAAAACATTACAGAAGCATGCAGATCAGTTAAGAAATCGTTTAGTTATCCCAAATCATGAAAGTTCTTTGGAAGTTACAGAAATGGTTGTGCCAGTGAATGAAGCAAATACAAACACAAATACCACATTGTGTTGTTTATCAAGGAACCGTAAACCTACGAAGATGTTTATTGAAGAAATCTAACTTTAAAATGTTTGAAAGAAATGTAATAAATTAATAAAATATAATTTATAGATATTATATATTAAAATAGAATATTCAAAAATTAATTAATATAAATTTGATGTTTGAAATAAATTAAAATATAAATTAGTAGTCATGTTGTTTATAAATTAGTAGTTGTATTACTACACATATAAATATATATTTGAGGTAGCAAGGTTTCTTAGCCACTGGTTAAAGAAAACTGGCATGGTTAGGCAAAGATAAGCCTCTGCATAAAAAATGCAAGCGCCCAATATAATAGGGTAGACCAACATCTAAGTAAATTCAAATAGCAAATTGTGTAATGCCATATGAAAACAATTAAATAAATCCAGGCCAGGCTTAAACAAAATTGTCATTAAATGTCAAAAATTTATATTTTATTATATTAATAGTATATATAAAGTTTTTTTTAACACATAGTACTATTTCCAATTTTAATATTATAATAGGATAAGAACCATGAAAAGTTTATTAGTCTTACCCATTAAATTTAATAATTATTAATGAATAGACAGATTTATTATAGATTTTTTTAAATAGTCTAAATTATTCATAAATATAGCCAATAAAAATGGATTGTTTTTCAGAAATAAAAATACTTTTTAATGAGTCTAAAGTTTGGTATTCTGAAATATCATCTGTCAAGCTCAACATCAACACATTATTTTTATCATCATTATAGGATACTTCTAAACTATTGAAATTAATTATATCTGATGTGTTTTGAGAATTTTCTGAATTGTAACTCACATTTTCTTTTATATCATATGTGTTTGATAATTTGTCAGTTAGTGAGATTATTATTGGGGAGGATGTGTTTTGAGAATGGGAAATATTATTACTATTGGAGGTTTTTTGATCATTAAAATTTGAAGTTTTATAGCTCTTAGCCCTATTCTGTTCAATCTATATATATATATATATAATATAATTGAAGACTACTTAATAATTATACTTTTAGGTCATTAAAAAGATAATCTTTATTCTCATCAAAATTTGCCAAGGCCTGTCGTTTGTTAGGTAATATATTCTGTTTTTCATTGTCCAAATTTTTTAATTTGAGTTTATGAGCATTTACTTTAATAGCATTTTCTTTATCAAAGATAATATTATCAGCTTGAATTTGCCAATTATTTTTAAATTTTGACATTTTAATAAATATTTTAATTATTATTCTTCATTCAATACTCTTTAAATTTTTAGAACACTATGTAATCAAATTCTAATTTTATAAACATTATTGAGACAATAGCTAACAAATCGAAAATTTTTCATTTCATTTTTTTACGGTGAACAAAAAATGCGAAAATCTCTTTTGATGAACAAAAAAAATTAAATGATAGCGGGGTTTGTTATCGACCAATTGCATCTAGGTATTTAAATTTTTAGCTAATATACTTTTATTTTTTTATCATTTTAATATTCATTAAATTAAATACTTAAATGTTATGGTAAAACTTACATCATATTTTAGAAAATATTTTATTTATTACTTGTTACATTAAACATATATTTAAAATTTATGGTTAAATAATGAACAGATTAAACATTAGGATAAATTCAACATCTATAATGTGACCAACTTAGATTAGTGTTGATTTCATTGGTGAGCTCAGTTTCGGAGGAGGGGGAGGGGGGGGGGGGGGAATATGCTATAGCTTAAATTCATTAACCCGGCTTGTCAGATTTCTTTGGTAAAAATAGCCGTTAGTGTAATAAATTGTATTAAATGTTATTTATTATATATTTTATAAAAAAGAATGGAACATTCGAATTAATCAATTAATAAATACGATGTGACAATTTTATAAAAATAATAAAACAATATATATTAAAATAGCTAATAATTAGTCGTAGTCGTTAATTATATTAAAATAGCTAATAATTAGTCGTGGTCGTTAATGGCGAGGAGGCAGTGGCGTCACGAAGAGCGTGCAGGGGCTCGAGCCCCCTGAAAAATTTGAATAGCCCCCTGAAGCAAATTTTTTTTTTTAATGGCTCCTTAATATCCTTTTGAAGTAAAAATAAATTGTTTTGATTGCCCCCTGAACGATTTCTTTTATAATTCTAATAAGTAGAATATAGATTTAATTTTATTATTTAAAAGTTAATAAGACTATTAAAATTTTTATTAAATGATACTATTTTAATTATTAGATTAGATTAATACATATAAATTACATTTTCACTGTCAGCTTGCAATCAAATCCTATGTTAAAAATAGAATATCAATATCACTCACTAAATATTAATTTATCATTAACAGTTGAAGCTTAATTAACTTTTTGATATATATTATCAAATAATAATACATTTATTTAACATTATAAATATATGTCAATCAATTTATAGTTGATAATTAGAAAAATAACATAGATATTGATTGTTAATTAAATATTTATTGAATCGCGGATTGATTTTTAAATATAAAAAAAATGAATTGATTTTTGTGAAATATATTGAAAAAAACGAAAATTTTACTGTGAATATTTAATTTTATGGAAATAGAAAAATAAAGAGTATATTTAAAAGTATTATTGTTAAATATAAAAATGGTGCCGTGACCAGGATTCGTGAACACTTATTAGGGAAAAATAAGAAAATTTAATTTGTGAAGAGAATTTTAGATATTATAAAAGAAAAAATTTTCTAGGACCGGGTTCCCCAAAATAATAGGATTCCGGATAAATAAAGCTAAGAAATTTTTTTTTTGTATTATAAATTACACAACGCAATAGTAGGATTTTTGAATTAAAATTAGAAATATATAAGATAAAATTTTAAATTTTGGGTAATTAATGAAAAAATGGCTTTTTATTTTAATGATAATTATAAAAAGCATAGTATTAATAAAATGTCAAATTTTAATAATAATTTTAATAAAATTTTTGATAAGAAATTTAATGAATTGGATGTGACCAATAGTGTGGTTACAGCTTTCATTTTTTTTATATTGTATATATTATTAATTGGTTTCAGACAATTAATTAATAAAATTCAGAAAAGATCAGTGAATTATAAAATAATTAAATTAGGTGATCTAAATAGTAATAAACCTTTAGATATTTCTGAGGATATTAAAAGTAGTTTACAGTTAATTTTGTTAGAATTAAAAAAATTAAATAGTAAAAAAATGTTGAAGATAAATATGAGAAATACTTAGATACTGGTGAAGTATTTAATGTTCCTCAAAATATTGACATATCGGAGGATATCAATAAAAAATTAAATTCAATTGTGATTGAATTTAAAGAGAAAATTTCTGAGGTTTTAAGTAAAAAACCAGAAGAAATTTTGAAAAATTATAAAACAGATAATACTTTGAGACAAAGTATCGAGGAATCTATAATTTTACGTGAAATTAGAGAAATGAAAGAAAATATGAAAAATTTGTCCAGAGATGTTTCCAATGTAAAAATTAAAAATAATAATAATATAATTGAAAGTTGTGAACTTTGTGGAAGAAGAGGACATATTGGTAAAAATTGTTATTCAAGAGACCGAAAAACTAATGAAAATGTGACTTCAAAACCAAGTGAAAAAAATGACATAGTGTGTCATAGATGTGGTTTTGTAGGACATATAAAAAGAAATTGTATGGTGAAAGAAGCCAATTTCAAAAGTGGATTTCCACAATGAACATCGGTAGTGATAAATCCAGTGGTTCGAAGTATACAAAATCCTCAGAGTATAAATGTGAATGAAATTAAAACTTACAATACAGACCATGATAGAATGTGTTTCAAATGTGAAGAAATGGGACACATTGCCATTCATTGTATTCAAAGTGTGAGTGGGTTACAGTGACTATATGATTTGAAAGAGAATCATATAAAAATAGAAAAATCATATTTAGAGAATAATAAACATTTTGATATATATAGTTTTATTAAAAATTTTGTGGATATATATAATAAAATAGATAATCCTCATGGGAATGATAATTATACATTAAAATTTAACTCGAATAAAAAGAGTTTATGTGGGAAATTTTCATTGTCATTCTGATGAAATAAAAATTTTTAAATTAACCAATAATCTGAATAAAAAGGATTATTGTAATCAAACAAGTGAGAAATATCCAGGAGAGATTTTTAATAACAACATAAATGAGATTCAGAGATCTTTAAATTCTGAGAAGAATTTAGGTATGTATTAATTGTATTGAAAAAGAGATTAAAATAAATATCATTCAACCGATTAAATTGCCTAAATATTTAATAACTGAGGGGTCAAAGGAACAGAGTTCATGTCCTCATATTAATTTAAAATTTGGTGGACAAATAGTTGAAATGTTATTTGATACCGAGCAAGTATTTCAATAATGTCTAGTGAAAATTTTTATAAATATTGGCCGAATGGTATTGTTGAGAGACAAAATATGTGTTTAAAACAATTTGATGGATCTGAAATCAAAGTTTTGGGTAGAACTCAGTGGGATGTTATTTTCCATGGATAGTGAATAAAAATGTTGAAACAATTATGGGTTGGGATTGGATTAGCAAACTTGGACCTAGAAATAATTATTAAGATTTATTTATAATTGATAGCGAATTGGCAAGAGATAATGCTGAAAGAAAAATAATGGCTAATGAAGTCAGGGAAATGCTTAAAGAAAGGGAAATGAATAAATTAATGAGTGAAGTAAAAGAATCTATAGTTAATAATAATATTTGTGAATATGCTACAAAATCCATGATAGATTCAAATCAATATAAGATCAATAATGAAATTGATAATGATAAAAAATTAATAATGATATTAATGAATTAAATAGAGTTAAAAATGCTATACCTTTTTAGTTGAAAAATATGATATAATTTTTGAAGACACTTTGGGATGTCTAAATGATTATCAAGTAGATTTAAAATTAAACGAGGGATTTTCACCTATTTTCTTAGCGTGTCGTAGAGTTCCTTTTGAGTGGAAAAAGGAAATCAACGAAGAATTAGATAAATGAGTTAATGATGGTATTATTATTCCTGTGGAATATAGTGAATGGGCTACACCATTAGTACCTGTTAAAAAATCTAATGGAAAACTTAGATTATGTGCAGATAAATGGGTTGTGGAAGTGAAATATCCATTACCTCGAATTGAAGAAATTTTGGCAAATTTAAAGGGAGCCAAATATTTTTCAAAAGTTGATTTTTCATCAGCATATTTACAATTGCCTTTTAAAGAAGAAATTCGTAAATTGTTGACAATAACAACGCCTAAAGGATTATTTGCGTTTTGTAGATTACCTTTTGGATAAGTGTATCTGCACCGATTTTTCAGAGAACAATGGCATCAGTTTTCCAGGGTTTGGAAGGTGTATTTTATTATATGGATGATGTGTTGATAACTGGAGTGACGCCAGAACAACATAATCAACGTCTTGAAGAAGTTTTCAAGAGAATTCAAAATAAAGGTTTAAAAGCTAGTAAAGAGAAAAGTATTCTTGGTGTCACTGAAATAGTGTATTTGGATCATCAAATTAATGGAATGGAAGTGAAGCCGCTTGATAAAAATTTAAAAAATATTTTAAACATGAATCAGCCTAGTAATAAAGCTGAAGTGCAGTCTTTTATGGGCATGATAAATTATTATCATAGATTTGTGAATAATTTTGCAAAAATAGCAGCTCCATTATATGACTTATTAAAAAAAGGTGTTAATTTTGAATGGAAAATTGAACAAAGAAATGCTTTTGAAAATTTAAAGAAAAAAATTGGTGAGGAACCAATTTTAGTGTGTTTTAGCAATGATTTGGAGATAATTCTTGCGGTTGATGATCCA